ATGTTAACGAGGGCCAGATTTGGCCTGCAGGCCTTGGGTTAGACTCGTGTTTTAAAAAGTTAAAATAAATCTTGCCTCCAGTCTGACTACTCTTACCTCGACTCCTCCATGAGATTTTTTTCCCATAAGAGATCTCTTTAAATGCTGTCTATTCACTGAATGTAAGGCACTGACTGCTGTTAAAATGTCCACAGACCTTAACTTGAAAAGGACTAACTATCCCTTTAAGGTGCTGGATGAACTTTTCCAAGTTTCCCCAAAGCTCTTGCGTTTTCTTGGAATTCAGCTTTGTCCTGTTGAAGTGTAAATATTTGTCCTCGGTTAAGATCTTGAGCTTGTTTAAAAAAAAGGTTCCCGTACAACATTTCTCTGTATTTTTTCTTATTCAGATTTTCCCCTTTTCAGTACATAAGAAACTCAAAAAGCAGAACATTGCTCCTATTAACCATGTTTCATATTAAGGATAATATTAGTGTGGTGAAGCTTCCTCCTCACACAGCTGGTATCTGCAGCCAATCAATTCAGTTTTTCTTTTGTCTCTGATCAGCTTCTTTAGATTCAGATTAAATCAGCTGTTATTGGAAAAGTATCGGCAAGTTGTTAACTAATGGTTTCCTATTGATGAGTTAACCAAAAAAACTCATTGGTAGAATGCTGCCAAATGTGAAATTATTTGTCTCTGTGTATTGAAGGATTTAAATTTTATAAAGTTGCTCAGGTGGCTCAACACACTATTAATTAGGATGTTTTCATGACTTAAGCATTTCTCTCACCCCGACAAACTAATACAACTTAAATCAATATGTGTTGGTAAATCAAACTCTCTGAAAGTGACAGTAGCCGGTCGCTCACTTAAAGCACAACAGAAACAGCAGCTCCGYGTTATTTACTATCTGCTGTGACCAGATGGGAAACATGAGATAAGGTGGAGACAGAAATATAGACGTGTCCGTGAACAAGAATTCACCTGTTGTGGATCCAGTCGGTGTGAAGACTTCTGCCTCTGAAAGTGTCAAAAGTCCTTATTGTCCAAACAAAAAGTATTCTCTTTGAAGTTAAAAGCTATTTCCTGATTAACCGTAATACGTTTCTCACCTTAAATTTTTATTATTATTTTTATTTTTTTGGAAGAGCTGGCAAAAAAAATGTATACTTTTTTAAATAGAATTCTATTT